CTGCTCTGGGTGCCAGCAAGGCGGCGTGATCAAAGCAGAGGGCAGAGCGGTTCAGAGAGGGAGGGCCAGGGGACAGAGCGGGGCACAGGTGCCTGCAGGTGGCATTTCAGACAGGGTGGGCTGGATGATGTTTGAGTGGGGCCCTGAATGAAGTGTAGATGTGCACTGGAAAGGGACGGGGGACACACCCTGCCGGGCAGCGGGAGGAAAGGGCGTGGCGCAGTCAAGGAACAGTGGCGAGATGCCGGTGGGGCGAGACTGGACGGAGGGATGAGGCCGGGTTGGGCCAGGGGTGGACCGTGTACGGCTTCCCAGGCCCTGGGGGGCGCACAGCTACTGGAAGATTGAAGAAAGGAAGTGACAGGGTCTGCTTTGCGTTGTTGCAAGACTGTGCTGACCACTCAATGGAGAATGTGCTGGGTGGGAGCAGGGGGTGGGGGTAGGGGACCGAGGAGAGGTGGCTGCATTTGCCTGGAAGAGTCAGTGGTGCCGGGGTGCCGGTGGGGCGGGGGGTGGCTGGACAGCCGAGTGCCGGGCAAGCCGCAGCACAGAGGTGCGTTCGGGGCTCAGCTGAGACAGTCCTCCGGGGAGAGGGCGAGGGGCAGGACTGGGGCGGGCGTGGAGGAAGCAGGGAAGCGTGCGGCTTCACCACATTCCCTGAAGGCAGAGCCCACAGGACTCGGTGTCCTATGAGGTCCCGGATGCCCACCGTTTTGGCCAGCACCACCAGGTTACAGGGAGTGCCATTTACGGGGTCGGGGAAATGCAGGCTGGGATGGGGCGGAGAAGGGTGTGCGGGGTATCCAAGGTTTGTCTGGGCGGGTTAATGGGTGCGCTGTGCTGCACAGCCCTGGGGTGGCACCGTCACTGTTGCTGAGCCCGGGACCCTCCTCTGGCAATGGTACGGTGACCAGATGCGGGAGAGAACTGGGTGAGGCACAAACGTTACTCAACTAATTCTCACAATTCTTAGACGAAAAGGAAGATTTCATTCCAGCTTACAAGGGAGAAACATAAACCCAAAGTCACATTTCAAATCCATGAAATCAAAGACAGAATATAAGTATCCTGATAACTCGGCACGGTAGCCCACGAATAAGACAAAATGTCTTCGGTCACCAGACCAATGGTTCTGCAGGCGACAGGACCACAGCGGTGACAGGGCTTAATGAACAAAATGCCATTCTCATCCGTTCTTTCCAAACAAAGGAGATGAAGCAATACAAAATCACGTTTTGCGTTAAGCCAGGGGAGATTAGTATGTTGCAAACAGTGTGACCCACGCAACGGACCAATGACTAATAGATCCAAGGATGCGCTGCTTTTCAATGTATCTCAATAAATGCAGCAACACCCAGAAGGAAGAATGGCTGGGAAAACGCACTGCTCCTTTCCCAGATCGTGAAGTCTCAAATCCGCCCTGGTTTTCATGTTTTCCTTTTACAGGACAGGGCCCGGCCTAGTAACGGACTATCCACAGTGGAAGCCCAATAGGGCTAAATCAGTCAGAAACAGATTTGTAAATAGCTTTACCATATACGTAAGTGCCTTTCAGCTTTTGCTTTCCTTTATACTCAATCTTACCTGTCTGCTGTAATCCCTTATAAAAAAAATCTTCCAAACATTTTGGAGTTGGCCTGTGCTGCAGAACTGACTTACATAGTAAATGAAGTCTCTTAGTAGTTTATAAATAGGACCCATCCAATACCTAACTTGAGGAAGAAATGTGATAGCTTTTAGGATCTGTTTTTAAACATTTCTGAAACCTGGGGGAAAAAACTTAAAGGTCAATTCTAACTATTGTGGGGTCTTGTAAGCATTCTCTGAGGTTTATAAAAGTTTTTGTGAGTCCCTAAAGGTATATTGTTCAGGGTCGGGCAAAAGTAGGTTTACAATGGTTTGTATGGAAAATAATACAATAATAAAGAATAACACAAGAATAAATTCTGCTTTGCATACTCACAACTCTAAACCCGCTTTAGCCCCACCCGTGTAACCGTTTCGCCTGGAACTCTTCGGATAACCGATGCGAAAAACAGTTCTGCTCCCGGCCAACAGCTCTTCATGAACCACACTTTCCCCTGCTGGAGGGTTACCCGCAGGTTCCGGTACATGTCGGCCAGACCCCTCGGGGGACGCAACTCTCCAGATGCCACTCATATGTGGTGACTGGGGACCACTGTGGACAACCCCAGACAAATTCAAAGGGTGGAGCCGACCCGAACACTCTCTCTAAAATTCTGTAATAAGTTGATTCAATGTGCAAACATTGCCAGTAAAAGTGTATTCATAGTAGTTTTTAAGGAGGAATGTCTCTGATAGCCACTCTCATCTCAGAGAAGCCAATTTAGGTTCAAGCTGATCATTTGAGTGACTTGGGAGTCTCATCTATACTTCTGTTAAAGACCATTAATCATATAAATGACCAAAGTTTAATCAAGAACCATAGATCATGTACACTTTGACCTGATATTCTTATTTCTAGAAATTTAGCTCGGAGAGATCATCTCCATTCCACAGGAAGAAAATAGCTATAAAAGTAAAGAGTCCACTGCAGCATTGTTTTTATAACTAACCAACCAACTAGTCAGAAACTGGTAATAGACTATGGGTCAAATAATAAAGAGTTAGTTAAGTGAGTTTTAAGAATTACAACATATAGCTACTAAAATTCTAATTATTAAAACTATATTTTCATGTAGAAGCATGGAAGTACTTATGGTATTAAATGGAAACTAAAGAAGAGTATAAATTATATTTATCTGTATATAGATATAGAAGTAAAATATAGATATAAATATTTTAAAATATATAAAAATAACAGATATTTATTTAGAGGAAGATATAGAGATGTGATATTTATATCTATATATCTCTTCTCTCTCTCTCTCCATATAAATATCTACATATCTATAAATGACATTCAGAAGAAAACTTGGAAAAATGGGAATTTTGATATATAAGGGCTGTGAAATTCTGTTCTATAATTCAGAGGTTTAGTAACATTTTTAAAAAATGTTGGCAACTAATAAATAAACCACAGCAAACTCCTCCCCCCCCACCACACACACAAAATAAAAACAAAGGGAGAGTAAATAAAAGAAACAGAGGTTCTTATTGTATGTGGTCACCTTAAAGAGCTGGAACACTGTATTCATTATAAATTTGTAAAAATCTAGGAAAATCAGGCAGATATAAAATTTCCAGCTTTTATACATTAAAACTAATCATGTTACCTTATAAAGAACTGTTGGTTTCCCACTTATTTCTACGCATTATCACTGAACACCAATGAATCCTAGACATTGTCAAGGAGTAAAGATTTATTGACAATTTATGTTTGTCAATGAAAGACTGAACACAGAGCAAAGGACCTGAACCGTGCACTGGGATTTATATCCACCCTCAGCCTGGCCACTGCCCCCATCCTCTCTAAAGAAAAGGTGAACGCCCTGCCAAAACACCGCTGCCGACGTGGAACCCACTAGGTGTGGGAATGAACAGCCCGCGCCTTGGCCTCCAGCAAGTTCCTGCTCCCCCGTGGGAAGTGCCACCGGCTCAGACACCAGCCAAGGGAGCACCTGAGTGCTAGGCTTTTACAGGTGGCAAGGGAAGGTGCTCTTTTAAAGAAATTACTTTTGAAAAGTCAACATATTTTCATGAAGATGAGCCTACAGATGTGTGTGTCAGGACAAACTACTAGCTAGTCATACTTATGTGAGTGAGCTGCACTGTAATAGAATACAGCGTACGTGGAAAGAGCTGCGTAGAAAACATCTTTTCTCCTACAGACATGAAGAGTGAGCACTACCCTATTTTGGCAAGTTGAAGGCTTGGAGGCCAAACAGCTGGCTCGTTGTCAGGCTATGGAGAACATCCATTTCTCCCACTAACTTTCTTCAATTCCCTCTCACATATATACAAAAAGGGAAGGAAACTTCACCTTTTGCATAGTGAGCTTATTTGCACCATGCAGCCTCCTATTGGAGATTCATCTGTTCAAACAGCAAGATCTCGATGAAAGGCAATTCTCTTCTAGGATTCTGGATTGAACTTGGAAATACTCTATGGGCAGTAAATTTGAAATCGTCCCTTTGGGCAGACAGGATTTCGCCACTGTATCAAATGGCCCAAAGGTATTATTACGCTGATGGTTAAGAACGGTACTTAAGCAAGACATCATTTCTAGTCACCCCTGAGAAACCGCAGCTAGACCTAAGCATTTGGTACTTTGTAGCAACTATCACTACTGCAATTACCTAATTATTTCGGTCATTATTATTTCATGTCTCCTCCATTTCAGCAGGAGCCGTATCTATCATGTTAGTTCACGCATCTCCAAAGAACTAAAGGAATTACTGTGGACAGATAAGCATATCACTGGCCAACTTTGGCCCTTTATTACTAATAGATTATTATGCATCTAGCAAGTGATCAAAGTTCAATGACACAGATCATGGCTTCAAAATAAATTTCTTGGGGCAAAATCTTGACTATGAATATACTTTGAGTGCACATTTTTCTCTCTTGTTCACATAGAAGGTATGAAAAGATTGTAATGCTGTGAAGAGAAGCAAAAGGTCCTCTTCATTAGAGAGCAATGAAGGAGCCAAGAAATCAAGTGGGTAGAATTGTGATCATCTTTCTGGCTTTTTAAAACTCCTTATAAGTATTTATTTTAATACCATTCATTCCACATAGCATACACCATATTACATTGCTTACTCTTGTATGTCTGATATCCTCCAATATGTTTAAATTCCTCAGAGGAAATTAGTTAGTTTTCAGGGGCCCAGAGATCTTAGGGTGTCTGAGGGGCCCTCGAGATAATAAAGACCTAGAAACTCTTTCTAGGAACAAAGTCCAAAACTTTTATATGATTCTCAAAGGTGTCAGTTTAAGACCCACCATTTATATGATTCCATTTAATTTTAAAGTTTCTAGGAATATTCCTTTTATCTCTGGTCCATGTCTTAGGAAGAAAAAACAAACGTTGTTACCGATTTCCTTTCCTGCTTCAGTTCCTGGACGTAGCGCGCCAAGCCCATGGTGATCTGCGAGGTCATGTTCTCCGAGACAACCTCGTGCTGCCCGGCATAATCATTCGTCTCGTTCAGGGTGGAGAGGAAGGCTTTACAGGCCGTGTACCTACGGAACAGAACACATGCCGCACCTCCTCAAGCAAGGGCTTCCCTGCGCTCGTTTCGCTAGAGAAATAGTTATTAAAAATGGCTTAATTTGTACCAGCCTCCCAGAGGACCGCGACAATTCATTACACATGAGTGTTGACATCAAAAAGGCTCAGACTTAATTACAACAGAAACACTTTTCATTTTCTGAAACTGAACTGCCCCACACAGGGCAGCATTTGGCTCTGTTAACAATACTCAGGCCAAATATAACCCCAAATACATATACATGCTGTATGTATTAATGTCATGGACACTTGATCCAAATTAGAGACACAGTACTGTGGGACTGCCTGGTTAAGATGCCTCCTGAATCCCTCACTAAAGTGGACACAGTCCTTGGATGAATTAGTATGAACGAGACTCCTGACATTACAAAAACAAACCAAGACTGTAGAGCGCACAATCCATGCTTCCTGTATTTGCTTAGATTATTTTCAAAGTTTTTCCTAAGTACCCTAATTGAATCTATCTAGAATAGGTCTAGTGACTCACTGCAAGAAAAGTTGAGAGTTTTATATTTTTCTCTCCCCCAACTAAAAAACTAACATAAATATGAATAAAGAATGCAACTCATTTCCATAGGTGTCTATTTCTCCTTTCCTTCTCATTCAGCACCGGTGGCGTATAGATGATACCGCATCGTTATCAATGACCAACGCACCTGTATTCTTCTTCCTCCCTCGAGTTCTTTTTAGGTTGGTATTTCTTGGAAAGATTCCTGAAACAGAAATGCAGACATGTCACCTCACATAAAGCGATAATAGAAAAATCAAGGATGACAGATAAGTTAGTGATTTTTTTTTTTGTAAGTTGAAACAAATAATTACAAAATATCGGCAGCTGAAATTCACTTATTTCCTTCCATCTTCCAACACCTGCGATGAAGCTCCTGTTACGGTCGACACGCATGGCTTTGAGTCTTCACTGCCAGGGTAGGGCAGATAAGAACTGAAATGGGCACCAGCTGGCCACTTAGCTGGACCTGGAGACCCAAGTTGATTTAAGTGGAGGCTAGAGGCCACGTGTGTGCATGCGGTGGCTTCCACGTAGCCCTGAGCCCGGGGCAGTTTTTCTTAGGTGGGCGTTACTGCTCTAAGTTCCACGGAAGCATGTGCACTGGGTCCCAGTGTTTAAAGGAAGTATCACAGCGCCCCAGCATGTGGCTGCTCCCCCAGAAGGCTGATGCAAACCGCCCGTGAATAAGCCTTCTAGGGCAGGAGAGACGATCTTTTGGGGATGTTCATGGTGAGACATTTAACGAGGCGACCTTTGAACCTGCCTGGTGGGTTTGCCCTGAACACACTCGGCTGAGCCCAAATCACGGTCTCCTGTCCCAGTGCCATCCCCAGAGCAAGAACGCAGGCACTCTCCTCAGCACTCAGCGCGCTTTCACTTACCCGAAAACTAAGAGGCAATCATGGAAAACAACGAGGACCACGCCTCACGGGCGCAGGTTCCGCTGGCTGGTTTCCCGTGGGCCCTGGGTGGGGAGCTGCAGTCCGGGAAACAGCCAGGAGGCTGACGCACGGTCCGCGGGGGCCTCCACGGGCAGCAGCTCGGCACTCACATCCCTGTCTACGGCCGCTGCCAGTCCGCTTCCCTAGCAGCCACCTTCGTTTGTCACCTGCCGATCCCAGCAAGACCAGCACCCTCAGCAGTTTGCACTACCCAGCCAAACCCTAAAGAGGACTAAAGGCCCGCGGTGGGGGGCGTCCTGTGAGGACCACCAGGTTCCGATGAGCATCTATAGCATTCAAATGCTCCTAAAAGCACGGATGAATAATTTACTCTACAAAGGCCAGCAGAAAACTAAACGCCTAAGAGGTTCTAGAAGTGAATTCCAGGCCTAAAGATGCGTCTCTCAGGGACCACTACAAAAAAAGGTCAACTTGCAAACTTGCACTTCTGTTCTCTGAGACAGGCTTTTTTGCCCTATTTGTAGGAGGTTATTAAAAAAAAAATAAGCAAGCCAACGAACCACAAAAAAGCATCTTGAAATTTATGAGATCTTCCTGAAAAATTTTAAGGGTTTTATATACTTAATTTGCTCTTCAGAGAGGCTAATGAAAAGGTAAGAGAAGAATGTGCACCCTTTCATAAGGATTCTACATTTAAAGTAGGAGCCACAGGGAAGGCTTTGAGGAAGGAGACACTTGGGCCCGTTCCAAACCCTCTGAAATGGAAGGTCCAGGGTTGGGTCCGGGAATGTTTTGTTTTTCTCTCTTTCTTTTATTTTTTTTAAAGCTCCCCACAAGATTTCTGGAAGAAAGATGGCAGAAGAAAATTGGATCCAAGAAGTGTGCTTTCGCAACAGCAAGGGATGAAAATGAACAGCCAGGAAAATGTTCAACAGCAGCAAATAAAGCGGTACAGAAAAGCGCGTAACCTGAGCGCGCACCTTTGCAAAGTGGCCGCCGGGGTGAGAGCGCAGCGCGGGTGCTGGCCCGCCCTCCCTGTCACAGGAGTAAGTCCTTAAACCCTGAACCCCGAGGGGGGGAGGGGGAGAGGGGGAGAGAAGCGAACTGAGGGGTCAGGAAGCCCCCGGGGAGCAGTGACAAAATGCTCTGGGAGGAGGACAGCCGGGCTGACCGCCTGGTCTGGACACGGGCAGGCCAGGAGCTGGCTGCCTGGGGGGCGGGGGGGGCTCGCCCCAACCTAGGGCTGCCAGCGGAACGGAAAAGGGTACATCTTTGACCTCAGGGAAGTAAGCCCCCAAAGTTCCATACGCGACAATAGACTCGCACGAGACCCCTCCCGCGCCCTTACTGGGCGGGAGCTCGGAGGGAAGGCGGACAGACGCCTTCTGGAAGCAGGGAAGGGACCTTCTCCGGCACCATCAGAGCGCGCGGGAGCCCTGGTGACGCTCGCAGCAGGAACAGGAGCGGGCTTGGGCATCGGCCTATGCAGTTCACCCGCTCAGTCTCCAAAGTGCCCCCCACAACCGTATGTTCGCATTATTTGCATTTTACAGATGAAAAAGATAAAACACTGAGAATAATTTGCCCAAAATCGATGAAAGGACTGAGACTGCATCCCAGGCACTGGGACTCTGCAGTCTGCCTCTTGGGCCACGTCACTAAATGGCCCGTGGTAAATATAAGCCAGCTGAAAGGATGTGAGATGTAGTATAGAGGAAAAGGAGGGAGGGAGGGAGGGAGGGAGGGGATGAGAGAGGAAAATCCAACCTGGAAGAAAACATCCAAGGAGAAGAAACTAAACCACACTCCTCCAGAATATTTTACACTGCAGACAGACTTGATAAAAACCAAAGCCAACAGAGCAAGAATCCTCAGGTTACAGGACAAGACAGAGGGGGATAAAGAGGGGCACCGCAAAGCTACGAGGAGGAACTGAGAAGGAAGCACACCACTCAAGAGCTAGTAAATAAACTAGGCTGCTATCAAATGGCAGAACGTTATGAAATCATCATCATATGAAAAGCAACGAACATCATCAGAAAAAGAAAAAGATCTAAAGAGCAAGAGGATGAGAACATCAGGAAAACTCCTCTCTCTGACATATATAACCCGAGAAGTAGAATAGGTAGAAGAGAAAAAAATATTTAGCTATAATTGAAAAAAGTCCCCCTGAAAACAACGAGGAGTTGAATCTGCATATGAACGGGCTCTATGACACACTGACAGGATCACCGATCACCGGGCACAGCCTGTTATCAAACTGCTGCGTGGAACAACGGCAACAAAAAACTCTTCTCAAGGATCCTCGAAAAAGCAAGACACCTACGAAGTAAAACATTCTGGCTGGTCCCAGACTTTGCCACCAAAACACAACGCAGCCGCACAGTTTGGAGAGAAGGGAAGTATGGCCAGAGAACCACCAAGGTATGCTGCTGTTGTGGAGAGTGGCGCTCCCCCACAAGAAGGGACTCCAGGGTTATGCCACGGGCTCTTATTGGGGGACAATATCCCTATTTCCTTAATGCCCACAAGCAGAGAAGCTGCGGTAGAAGGAGTGGTGGTGAGCACAAATCTATATTTAAATATAGAATTACGATAAATGTGGGGCTCATGTTACAGACCAAATTACATAATTCGATTAGAAGAGGAAATGAAAATGTAAATACATTCTCTTTCCTAGCAGTGAGTCAACGGAGCCTGTTCAAAATTACAACATGGAGCTTTAAAAAAAAAACCAAACAAAGCAATAAGGACATCCTGCAAATTTTAAATGATCTTTTTGCTAAATCTTGTAAGAGTCTGTTTAATATTTAAAGTTCAGCAAATCCGTGCCCATGAGCCCTTTTCCCTTTCTGCTCAATCCCTGCAGCCATAACCTCCCCCCTCCCCGCCCTCAGCTGTCAGCCTGCTCTCAGAGCCCGTCTCTATTTTGCTTGTTAGTTCAATTTGTTCATTAGATTTCACATATGAGTGAAATCATATGGTATTTGTCTTTCTCTGACTGGCTTATTTTACTTAGTGCAATGTTCTCCAGGTCCCTCTGTACATGGCAAAGAGTAAAATTTTCTTCTTATTTATGGCCGATGAGCATTCCACTGTGCAAATGGCCCACGGTGGTTTTATCCACTCATCTACTGATGGGCACTTGGGCTGCTTCCCCATCTTGGCGATTGTAAATAATGCTGCAATGAACATAGGGCTGCTGATGTGCTTTCAAATTAGTGTTTTGGGTTTCTTTGGACATATTCCCAGAAGTGGGACTGCTGGGTCAAAAGGCAGGTCAATCTTTAATATTTTGAGGTATCTCCACACTGCTTTCCACGGTGGCTGCACCAGTCTGTGTTCCCACCAACAGGGCATGAGGTTCCCCTTTTCCCCACGTCCTCACCAGCACGTGTTGCTTGTTGATTTATTGATGACGGCCATTCTGACAGGTGTGAGATGATATCTCAGTGTGGTTTTAATTTGCATTTCTCTGATGATTAATGATGTTGAGCATCTTTTCCTATGTCTATTGGCCACCTGTATGTCCTCTTTGGAGAAGTGTCTATTCAGGTCCTTTACCCATTTTTTAATTGGGTTTATTGTGCGGTGGGAGGGGAACAGGTATAAGGGGACTAAATGGTAATGCAAAAAAAATATAGTTAAAGAATTTAAAAAAGAACAACAAAGGACAAGGAAGAGGAAAGCAAAAATAAAAGGTTCAGCAAATCCTTCAGTTTCACTTTCTTCTCTACTGTTAAATTTAAATGTAAAACCTTGTATATACAGTATGCAACACATTTTATACAATGGTTTCTACATAGTTATCCTTTATCTACAAGGAGCTCCAATTAAAACATTGACCAGGGCATCAATGGTTCCTCAAGAAGAAAGTACAAATGACTCAAATGTATACAAACGTACTCTGCCTCCTTCATACTAAGAGAAACTACAAAGTAGCACTCAGATGTCCCAATTTTTATTTGTCAAGTCAGCACAGACAAGGAAGACTGGGGCAAGGAGCTCTGAGGCTCCAGACATTGTAAGTAGCGCCACCCTGCACAGAGATGTGAGTGCTTAAGTCACAGCCTCTGAGGGGGGCAGCTTGGCAAATTCTACACATCAGAGCGCTATTCCTAGGAACCTCTCCTCTAGATTTGCTTGTCCACATGTATCATTCCAGCTTACGCATTGCAACTTTGTTCAGAGTTGCAAACAATTAGGAACAGTCAATACATCCACCCATCCAATGTAATACTGTAAAGCTGTGAAAAGTAAAAATTAACCTCAGAACAACATCCAGGACTCAGGGAGGCAAGTGTATGCTCAACTGCTGGGGAAGCAAGAGAGAAAACACATGCTTCTTCGCCATGTGCGCGTAATATCTCTCTGGAAGGGTACATAAGAGACTGATGACATTTATTGTCCCTGGGGACGGGGACACTTCACTGCACACCCTTTGGTACCTCTGTCATTCCTGGGTTTTTAATCATGTGCATCCATTATCTGTTTGTAACAAATAATTTAGTTTTTGGTTTTTGTTTTTCTTTTAAGAAATGATTGCTAAGGGCAATCAATAGTTGGTGCTATTATATAGGGCAGAGACGATGTTTTAAAATTCTATTAGGAATTGGACCCAATGCCATCTTGAATAAATAATAATCCTAGCAGGGGACAGCAAACTTTTTCTGTAAAAGGCCAATCAATATATATTTTAGGCTGGCAAATACATTATGCTCACGTGCTGTCTGTTACAACTATTCAACTGCCACTGTTTTGCAAAAGCAGCCATAGACAATGCATCGATGAATGGATGTTGCTGTATTCCAATAAGACTTTATCAAACCAGGCTGGGGTTTCTTTAAATTGACCCTGAGCTAAGGTCAATTCCCAGGAGTTTTTCCAGGGTTTTGAATGTGCAGTGACTCATGTGAACATTCTAGCAGCAGTTTGATGATCATGTACGACATCTAAAAACAAACAAATCCCAAAATCCAGGCAAAGGATGGCTTTGGCCATGGGCTGTATTGGTTGCCAGCCACTGACCTAGAAACCAAAGTCCCGATCATCATCTCCTACGACTAAAATAAGTCAGCCATTTTTTCCTCCAATGCAGAAAAGAATAAAAAGTATTTAATGGCAGATGTCTCCCCCAAAAGATCACATTGGCCTTTCAACATCATATTGATCTTTCAAGCAACTACCATAATTTGCCATGTATAATGCGCTCCCGTGTATAATGCATCGCCAGATTTTTGGCCCAAGATTTCAGGGGAAAAAATCTTTTTAGAAAATTGTTAAATTCAGTTTTTTGTTTATATTTAGATATTTGTTTTTTGTGTTATAAAGGACTTTTTAGCATTTATTTTTGAACATATTATGGTACAAGGAATTTTATGTAAAAATAATAACAGAACACAGGAACAGATACAAGGTATTTCAGGTACTGTCCACATATAATGTGCATCCTTATCGTCCCTCAAACATTCGGGCAAACAAACGCGCACTATACACAGCAAAATACGCAATCTGTAGACTTCGCTCCAGTCACAGGGGCCTTGCCAGGCCTCGCCCGCACCCCACCTCGGGACCTGGCCTCACCGAGAGGAGCGGCCCGGACCCTCGCCCACCCGCCGCCTGGGCCTTCGGTCCCCTGCGGGGGGCTTTCCCAGCCAGTCCTGCTGGTGACCCCTGCGCGCCTCATGCTCTACCGCATCACCGGTTTTACTCACTCGGGGCGAAACATGCTATCTTTAAGACATGGACTTCCTTGGGTATTTGCATGCTCCTCTCTTACATGGTGAGAAGGTGAGCGCCTCGGGCCCAGGTACTTCCTGTGTCTCGCTCATCAGAGTCCCCCCTGCAACCCTGCTGACACACTGTGAGCTGTTCTGTTGGTGACTGAGCCCTCACGGGCTCTCACAGGCCTGTGCAAACACACTCCTGGAAGCCCTGCTGACCAAGGACCTCAGCCCAGACCTGCGCCCTGTCCATTCGCTCTTTCTATAGCGCTCCACGAGCACCTCTCGGGGACGCGCTGCGAGCCCGGCCAGGAGCGCTTACATTCTAGCAGGGAAGGAGCGGGAGACAATGAACAATAAATACCACAGACCAGAAAATCAGAGGAGGTTAGGAAGCCACCAGTGCCATGGAAAAACTGAACGGTGCAGCAGGTGACGCCTGAGCAGACCTGAGGGTGCAGGGGGAGCTGGCCGCGCAGCTCCTGGGGTGAACAGACGGGATCTCTGCGTGGGAAGGCCAGGACAGCTCCTGAGGGCACAGTGGAAGCAGCAAGGCGGCCAGTGTGGTTAGAGCAGAGAGGAGGAGGAAGAGGGAGGAGAGAGATGCTTGGTATGGGGACCAGAGCACACAGGGCTTGGCAGGACATCCACCGAGAGGATTTGGGATTTACTGAGTGAAATGGGGAGGTGGGGGGTCCTTTGAACAGAGGAGCGCAGTGATTGGCTGTTTGGTGGAAAACAGACAGATGAGAGTGGGGAAGGGGGACCAAGGGAATCTAGTGAGGAGACTGATGGCCAGGCTGAGGTGGGGGGACGAGCCCTCAGCAGCAGCGAGGGAGGTAACGAGCGGTCGGATCCTGGGTCAGTCTGGAGAGGAGTCACCAGGACTCGCTGCCCGCCTGGATGGGGGGGCCCAGTGTGAGGGAAGATGGGAGCCAAAGATGGTTCTGGGGTTTCTGGGCTCAGCGAGGAAGCGTAACCCTCACGTGGGCGGGGGACACTGGGCTGCAGAGATGCGCATTTTGAGTGGCCAGATTCAGTTTCCGATGTTATGTTGCAGGTGTCTTTTAGGCACCCAAATGGAGATTCTGTGTAATCTCTTTCCGGAGTTCAGAAGAGGGGTCCAGCGTGAAGACACAGACTGTCTGCAAGTCATGGCCTTAAAGACTGTTCGCCGGGTGCGGAGGAGGTGGTACCCCCCCAAGCGGCTGAGGTCAACGATGATGAGGGCAGAGGACAGGCGACTGGGATGGTCAGTATGGGCGGGGGGTCACTGGGGCCTTGGAGGAGCAGAGCTGGTGCTCCAAGGGGACGGTAGCAAGAGGACAGCAACGCGAGGCAGCGAGTAAGGGCACTTTTGAGAAGTTCTGCCGCAAAGGGAAGGAAGCAGAGAAGCGGGAGTGGCTGGCGGAGGAAGCGGGCTCAAGAGTCCTGTTTTTCTAATGATGGGAGACACAGCGGCGCACCTGTGTGCCGGCGAGAACCGCTGGGGGGAGTGAGGAACTGCTGTCGGAGGACAGAGAGGAGAGCCCGTGGGGCAGAGTTCTGGGGTCAGGGAGCAGGCGAGTCCTCGTGCACAAGGGGGGCCTGGGTTTAGGCAGAAGCATCATGGGGACGCGGGGGCCTGCTGGCAGGTGGTAGCTGGAGTGTGGGTCTGTGGACCGTTTCTCCTGACTTTGCCCATTTTCTCATTGAAGGGGAGGAAGCGACCGCTGAGGGTGGAATGGGGGTGTTGGGACCGATATAAAAGAAACTGTGCAAGAGCCACTCAGCAAAGTGGGAAAGCAAGTCAACCAGGGATCAACAGCATGACGCGTCAGCACGTAGGGCCCAGCTGGGATCTCAGGGTCGAAGGTTAGAAGACTCTCCCGCATGATCAGTATTCATTTGGGAGGCATTTATTCAATGACTTGTATTTTTCTATCGGTTTCTCCCAACAAGCACAAATTTAGATATTTCTGAGGGATGTAATGAAACAAATGTCCATGTTTAAATCTCAGGAAAAGTCCTTCCCTAGAGGTTAACATCATAGTGGTCACACTTATACTTTATTTCAAGTTACGAAACATGGTCCACAGTGGCATAAAATGGTCAATAGGGACCTAGGCAATGGTACCGCAAGCCTGTCTTGGAATTTGGAGTCTTTTCCAAGAGCCTCCCATTTGGTGACCTGAGCCCTAGGTTCCCTCACCCAGGGTAGGGAGGAAGGGCAGGGAGCAGGGGGCAGCAGGGGTGGGGGGTGAGGAAGCGCTCCCCTCGTGACGCCGGACGGTCGGGAAACGTGCGAGAACCAACTTAGTGACGTCTGATACCAACCCTCTAAAGCAGGAGGCGATGGTCGGGCAGGGCGCCAGCAGAGAGGGGTGTACGCTGGTGGGCAAAGAAGAGAGACAATGGATAGAGAGAACTCTGTAAAGTGAGAACTTATTTTGGCTAAAACTATATGTAACCCCTTTTCACCTAAAAGACAACATTTTACGAATGGTTGCAACATTTAAATAATCAGCATGAAGCCGCTCATTCTCTAAGTCCTATTTTTGGTTCTAAGAGCCTCAAAATACCAATGTGGCCAATGTGCACACAGGGCACTAGACACCAATCTGGATTCCACATGTAATAAAAAGTATTTCATTGAGTGGTATGTTTAATGTTTTGTTTACTCAGTGGAAACAAAACTTGTCATCCAGAAAAATGTCCCCTGCATAACACTTAGGTGCTTATTCACAAACAACACCCCCAGCCCGGGAAGAACATGCATTCTTTCAATGACACATGACATATGCCATATGCCATCTGCAGATGCTCCGTGGATTAAAAAAGAAATGTTTCCAAACCAAGTCATCTGGATCTTTCACGGGTCTGTCTGTCAACAATCTGCACAGACCAACTCATCCCAACAAGCAGTCACTCAAGGTTTCACGTGCCATTTCAAGCTTAAGCTTCGTTCTACTAAAACGTTTCAACATTTTATATAAAAGCATTAACTTCTTGGATAATTTAATATTAAAGATGTAAGAGGCCCGAAGCGCTTTCCCAGGGCCGCCCCATGGGACCCCCCCCCACACTGCCGGAGGGAGCGGGCGTCGCAGAAGCATTTTGGAAGATGGTTTGACCCCATCGACTCCAACTAAACACACGCAAAGCCTATGTGACCCTCAGTTCCACTCCTGGGCATATACTGTATCCCCAAATAGGAGACAAGCACTTGCTGCGTGAGGGGAGAATGGCCGCTCTGTGGCCCCCTCAGATGCCGAAATTCTGAAACCACTGGAGAGAAACCAGCTGCCGCCACGTTCAACAACATGAATGAATCTCACAGACGTAATGGAGCACAATGACACCAAAGACAATCACTGCCTAGTCAGTGAGCACGTTCACACAAGATTCAAAAACCAGGAGGACGAGATCCATGCTGTTAGACGTCTGCGCGGTGGTCAGTCACCCTGGGGAAGGGTGGTGAACGGGACAGGGTCGGGGTCCTCTGATGCTGGTAGTTTCCTGTCTCCTCACCTGGGTACTGGCGACGTGAGTGTGTTCACTCTGAACATTCCGGACCTGTACCCTTAGGATTTGTGCACTTTTCTCTATATAAGTTATAGTTCAATACAAAGTTTTATGAAAAAATCAGCTGCTCCAAAATTGAGAAAATATTTTTTAAAAAAAAAGATCTTAAAAGCAATGACTTTGCTTTTATGTTTATTGTCTGAAAATTACTTTTCCATAGTAAAAGCAATTATTTCTATTGAAATGTTATCTGACATGTACTGGAAAAAGAACCATCTAAAGGATTCTACGTATTTACTATAAAATAAGAATATCAATTATTCTTACATCCATTGTGCAGTTAATGAACAAATAACCTTTCTGAACAGCAACTTACCTGAGTTGCTTTGCATAGCTGAGTTCAATCTCTGTCCTTTCCTTTACAAATTTGATGTATTTCTCAAGAATATCAATTCCCCACTGTGTGTGTTTTTCTAAGTTGTCGAATTGATCCTGTTAAAAAAAAAAAAGAGAGAGAGAGCTTATTATCTTTCTCTGTAATTAACAGAATTTCAATGAGCAGTTCTCTCAACAATATATCGCCACACAGAAAGCAGTTCTACTATTTTCCATGATTGCACTCGGGTGCTTTTGTGTTGAGCAGTTGTAAGTCAACATTACCAAATTTGGTTTGAAAACTGTCTTGGGTTCTGAACTCTGACCCATTTGTTCATGTTCTCTATCCCTATTAGAGACATGTTTTTTGGATATGATGAATGTCCTGGCACAAAGGAAAATCTCTTTATCAGATACTGACAACTGAGAGGTGAGACCCCCCCCACCACTAACTCAGTCGCACTATGAGCACCTTAACTGTTGTCTCCGAGCTCAAAACAGCTCGTTGAAATTTGGGGCCAGGCTCTGGGGCGGAAAAGCGGTACAAAATACTGCTTTCTGCAAACAGATAAATAAAATAACTCTCATGGACTTGACTGAAACATGCCAAGCCTAAGGACCACGAATGGTACTAGGAACTGGGAAACCAAAATATAGCTCAACTTGCATCGTGTTGAGGCTCCTGGTCTGGAAGAGTGGAAGCAGGTGCAGGATTCTAGCACCAGCTAATGCAAAGGCAGGGAGATGCCCAGGAAGCGGGTGACCTTGTCCTGCTGGAGCACAGGGTGGGGTAGGGTGTGAAGGGGGTGAGTGGTGGTGGGTGATGAAACCAGGCCAAGTCCCAGCCTGGTCCCCCAAGGCCTTGAATGCCCAGCCCAAACCCCGCAGTGGGCACCAGTGAGCCACTGGGGAGCTTGCGGGGTCGGGGGTGGGTGGTGTGGCACAAACATAGTCTTGTTCAGAATCACCGGAAGACTAAAGCCAAGAGACTGCTCCAATTCCAAGGACAGAAAAAGGGAGCAGAGGGAAGGATTTTGCTAACACTTAACAGAATCGAGCCCCGGGGACTGACTGGGTAAGGAGGCTGGGAAGGAAGGAAGGAAGGAAGGACAGGGGGATTCCAGGGTGACTCCCTGCTTCTGCTTCCTGTGACAACATAGACGGAGGGGCAGCAGTTGGGGGTGAAGTGACGCGGAGAACGTTGGAAACACAGACCTGCTGATTCAGAGCTGAGGGAGGGAGGCCAGTGAGCTGCCGGGTGTGAGCAGCAGCCAAGGGTGAGAAGGCCAAGGCTGCGGCAGCCTGCTCTGCGTCCATCAGTGCAGGGGGCCCGGCCTGGGAGGGGGAGCCCCACAGCGGCTACCAAAGTGAAGAGAGGTCCGGCACAGCGCGACACCGCACCGTGACACCACACCACGGCTTAGGGGGAACCACAATAGGCAAAGGTGGAAGTTTGCTGTCTCTGAGGGGTAACAGCAATGGCGGCTGAGGGTTCCAGCCCAGGCTCTGGGTCTTCCCAGAGAAAAGCCACCCAACAACAGGAGCTGTTAGTCGTTTGCCTCCCAGATGCAGAAATAATGGCCCGCATCAGTCGCGAGGGTCAGGATGACGGGCAAGCAGCAGGTCAAATACGAAAACGCAGAGCTACCATTTCATCTGATGGTGGGCGTGTGCAATCTGGCAGTGAACACTCAGCATCACCCTTCAGCTTGTTTTAAAATCTAGCACCTCCGATGTCAACTCTGTCATGGTGCTTTGATGCTATTTTCCATTCGAAGTAGTGCAAACTGTAAAATTGGTAAACTTTCCACTTAAGCCCAGCTTGGGTGGGAGTGGGCAGGTGGCAGAGTCAAAACACACCTCTGCAAACTTGAGAAACGCTCTTCTGAGGAGAAAGAATTTCCTCCACCTTGCTCCCACCCCGGCCCACAGAACAGTTGGAGGCATTGACTTGAGAAATTAAGGTTTTATTTCACTAGCATGTTTTTCTCATAAAAAATAATCACTGTAAAAATGTCTTTATACCAGGTAACTTTTCATGTTCTCAAAAAAAAATCAGGGACACATATGTAAGGTGTTCATAGGTTCTTCCTCCTCAACAGTTCTGCAAACTCCAAGATTCCATTTCAAGAGTCACCGTTCAGGGAGATTATTTATTTATGTTATCTCTAAAGACAAGGGTTGTCAAGCAAATGAACAGTGTAAACACAAGACTCTAGGTCTCTTTACACTACTTGAGAGGACAAATATACAGATAATTCAAGTACAGGAGTCCCCCCTCGTATGTGGAACAGTTTCTTGTTCCACAGTTGAGGTTATTCTCGGTCAGCCGTCATCTGAAAATATTAAAATGGAAAATTCCACCTCCCTTCATCCCATCACACACGCATTGTGTCGTCTCGCATCATCCCAAGAAGGGTGAGTCCGGGACAGTAAAATATTTTGAGAGAGGGAGAGAGAGAGAGAGAGAGACCACACATACACAACTTTTGTTACAACTTGTTAATAATTGTTCCATTTTATTGCTCATTAGTGTTACTCTCTTATTATGCCTAATGTATCAATTCGACTTTATCACACGCATGTAGGTGTAGGAAAAAACATTGCAGAGACAGGGTTCGGGCAGACCCCATCCAGCCCAGGCGTCCACTGGGGTCTTGAGTTGTATTCGCCACGGACAAGGTGAGGACGGCTATAAGGATCCCAAACCACTTCCAGCTCTTTAGAGCAAGGTTTCTTTAAAGTTCTCTGCTAATCAGCAAACCTTTGTTGATATAATTTCATAGTGATCATATTTACTTAAAAATTCCTTTCCACACACTCCCATTTGAGAGCCCCCTCTCTGTATAATTTCCCACTATCTCTGAAGTGTTGGCTATTTTCAACACTCTTGCTTTGTTAAAAATCTAACTCTATTTTTAAAAAGATTTTGTTTGTTTATTTTCAGAGAGGGAGGAAGAGAGGGAGAGAAACATCAACCGGTTGCCTCTCACGCACCCCCTACTGGGGACCTGGCCCGCAACCCAGGCCTGTGCCCTGACTGGGGATCAAACCAGCGACGTTTTGCTTCGCGGGACGGTGTCCAACCCACTGAGCCACGCCAGTGAGGGCTAACTCTGTATTCTTCCCAATTCCATTAGTTGGCAATTCTTTTTTAGCCCTAATGTATGCAATATAAAGCTTTCAGTACAAAACCTTTTTTAAAAATCTACACTTGAATTGAGCTCACCTTAAAAATTACTGGCCTCAAACCAACAATGTGTTTTGAATAAAGTTATCTGTATCCTGGAACATTCTGCAAGCTGTATTAAAGCCTTTGCTACAATAACAGGGTCCAAATAAGAGAGGAGGGCTCCATGATAAAGCTCCCCGGGCCAGATACGCAAGAGCCTGCCGGTGCGGGAGCCCCGCTCAGCTCCGCTGGGAACCGGCCTGGTGGTGCCTCCCCCACCCTGGACCGCGTGGATCACCGCAGCGTGAACTTTTTTGACAGAAGCTGAAAGGAAATTCAAAACAGATGAAAAACTAATCAGCCCACTTACATTCTTGACTAAAATGTGGAAAACTCAGTGGAAAAAAAAAATTCCAAATCTTAAAAAAATAGCCTTTGTGACCTTGGGAGGAGCCAGTCCCCAGAACGCACCCCTTCCTGGTTGATGTCACGTGACAGTGGTTCAGAAGACCCCCCCTGGCCCACCTTTGCCCTGTTAAAAATCACTAAGGACCCCAAAAAGCTTTTGTTTATGTGGGTGGCAACTGTCAATGCTTATGCTATCAGAAATTAAAGAGGGAGTGATTTTTACAATTATTTTTTAATTAATTTAAAAAGACAATAACTCCATTACATGTTAATGTAAACAACAACTTCCTTTCCAAAACAAAACCAAAAAAGAAAAAAGAAAAAAGAAAGCAAGAAGAATGGCATTGATTCATATTTTTGCAAATCCCTTTAATGTCTGGCTTAATAGAAGACACCTGGATGCTCACAGACACTTCTGTATTCAATTTGTTGTAGTTCCTTCCTTGAGTTGGAATACATGAAAAAACAGGGCTTCAGAGAGCTATGCAGTTAGGAAGCAGAGGAGACTTCCAGTAGCCTTCCTAGGTAATGGCGGATATTCTTATTTGATGCCACATCAAAACTCAACAAATACCTGTTTCTCAGAGGTTAGCTGCGTGCAACGTGCCATCTGAAACCCTAGCAATGAATTTTTCATACTTGGTTACAATAAAAAGCACCAGGCTACTTTGTGCTTTGAATGGATCCTTTACCGGTGCGTGATTGTAAAACACATGCACTGGTCATTCAGAAAATATTATTTCATTAATATACCGTATTCGTATTCTGCAGCATATGATGTCCTCCCGTGTATAATGCGCACCCATGTTTTGTGCGCATTATACACAGGGTAATCATACCCATTATTATACCCATGGTATGTAATCATTAAACCCATATATAATGTGCATCCTAATTTTTCTCTCAAAAATTTGGGCAAAAAACAGTGTGCGTTACACACGGCAAAATACAGTATGAAGATTTTCCAAGTGTTAGCATGCTTCATTATGAAATATTGGAAAAGTCACATTTGTTTATATCACCACTCCTCTTATCTGATGAGTCAAATTATTTGGAAGCTGTCAAGCTCACAGTGGCAAATACATATGTTCTAAAATCCCAATTTTCACTTAAAAGCTAGAATTTGATCATGGGCAACAAACGTTGTCAGCTGTTTCCTTGAAGTGAGAGGCTCACTTCATTCATTTTTGAGAAAATGTCTGCCAGGGTTTGCCTGCCAACCTTCCTCTGAGGTACAGACGGTGTCCCATGAAGGAAGGGGCTCGTTCAGCTCACAACGCTGTCAGTGATGTGCTTTGGGAAGCCCCGGGTGCAGCAGGCATACACCCCTACCTTGTCACACATACTATTAAAAAGATGTATGTTCAAGGGTTAAAGCTGATATAAAATAACGCTGAATGTCAAGTGTAATGGAAAAATAAAATTAAAAATAATACTTTTTCTTTGGCCTGAAATATGGAAGATACAGTTGAATCACTACCAAAAAAGGGGGATGGTGGGGGGTGTTGAGAGTTAATACAGATAATAACCTCTACTA